GCAGCTAGAAGTTCCTATAAATCTTCTAGTCTCTAGATAGTCATCTTGATCTCTGTATTAGTACTGTTAATATTATACTCTTAATACTTGTTTATTATTGTTAGTACCTATCTTAATAATTCCATAAGCTAATCTTTCTATAATGGCTTGATTACTGCTATTATTTGTATAACTATACTTAAGATGTTATTTTCCTCTAAGTTATCTCTAATATCTGGCACGTTAGGCTTTCATGGCAATCTTAACCTCTTTTTAATAGATTGCTTAGTCCTTATTTTAGTCTCTTATTAAGTAGCGGGCTATATGGATCCAGACCCCATATCTAGTCCTTGCTAGTATTATCTTAGATAATCATAATTCATGAATTAGAGACTCTCAGTCTGCCAATTAATCTGTGGATTATGATTCCTGAGTCATAAAATCTTTAATATAATATTATATTATCTTAAAGATATTATATTAAAGTCTATATACTTATAGTAATCCTTTACAGTTATAAATATGGTTCCTGACTTAACTGTTAATACAAGAGTTCTCAAATTCTCTCTATTTAGTCCTGTAATTAGTTTAGGTTTTGTTTTCTGTTATCTAAGTATCCCAAGCTGTTATATAAATCATGGGTTCATGAAGTTTCCAGTTATTTTAGAGTCTATCAGTACTTGGACTAGTTAACTTAATATAACTGCTTAAATCTTCAAGTATGGCCCTGACTCTGTGATTACTAACTACTGTTCTGGCTAATTAGATGCTAACTGCTGTGGATATCTTCTTAAAAACCTTGAGCCTTCTATCTTTACCGCGTAGTATATTATATACTGATTATTAAAACATATTAGTTAATATATTAATCTATAGTAAGAATATTTCTAATATCCTTTACACGCGTAACCGAAGGTAGAGTATAAACAGTAACTTATCTTAGTCCTAACCACTTTCAGTATCTTAAATCAGTAATTAATAATGTACTTTTAATCATGATATATTAAGCATGTATTCGTGTAGCACACAAGCCAAAGAAGTTTATCATATCTTTAATAATCTTTACTTTCTTTAAAATAAATATACAGATATGGTTTATCGCACCAAGATTCCGTTTCTACAATGTTTATCTTCTAGCTAATCTCTGATAGCTGGTAATAATAATCTGTATTATCTTATCTACATATTAAGCAAACTTCTGGATGATAAGAATATCTCTGTAAATATTGCTTCCAAATCTTGTTCCATGATTCTTAATATCTTAAATCTTAATATAAGTAATGCTGCATGATCATCCTGAGCTCTGGACAGAATTATACTGGATTCTCTGAAATCTTCTTTAAAATACGGTTTAATTAATAAGTAATATTCTCTTAATTATTCTTCTAGTTTTTCTTATCCTCATCTTACTGTGATAAACAGAATTTACTAATTTTTGATAGAGGTTTTTCCAGAGTATCAAGTATCTTGTTAAGTCTTTTCTTACTAGATTTAAAGCCTTCAAGTAATATACTATACTCTTTATTTAATGATTCATCCTTATTCCAAACTATACTGGGATAGTCATTTCTTAAAACTGGCTTATAACTGTTATTATTAACTTCTGTGGTCTAAACTAATAGTATAGATAATTATTAATCTTCTTATTGACTAGATAGTACTGTTAACTTATCCAGGGTGGCTTATTATCTCAACCAATCATGGTGCATCCTGTTCTCTGATAGCTAACCATGTTAAATAATATATAACTTCTTATTACTTAATATCTGCGTTGCAGATTCTGTCTAAACTTCATGCTGAATAGCGGTGACATCATAGGCTCCTCTGCCTTGATCTTGGTTCATAGTTCTCAACTGCTTCTGAGGCTGTTGCTGTTTCTGACTACAGTTCTTTGACTGGTGACCTGCTTTGCCGCAGCTAAAGTACAAGCGGTCTCGTTTACGCTGTTCGAGTTTCTTCTTAGACATTTGAGTCTGTTGAGTCTGATACTGTGCTACATCTAGCTTCATTAGTTTTAGTCCATAGAAATCTTCATATCCCAAGCTCCTAGGTTGTGCCGACCTTTTGTTGTTAGCTTGGTAACCTGGCTGATTATTATATTAAGATATAGATCCACTAGTTTATCAACCCTCTTGTTATTTCATGTTGAAATCGTATAATTTATTATCAATCTTAACTATTATTTTAATTATCTTGATTAATATGTCCGGTTATTCTTACCAAATAATCTTTTCTTAGATCTCCATCTTGAATCCTTCTTTAAATCATGAAATATAGGTGTTATTATCCTAGTCTAAGTGATTAATAACTTGCTGAAACTCTGAAGCATATATAGATACTAATTTTATCTATTTAAATCATTATAACTTCTATTTAATATTTTATACTGTATCAATATCTCTAAACATCTATTCAAGATACTGTTTAAATCTGATGTAACTAGTGAAAAGTTGTTTTATATTATTATTCTAATTACTTACTAACTTCTTTTATCACTCACGGATATACAGTTTAAACTAATTAAATACTGCTTCAGTTAGGTAAGTAAATATGAAAAAGATCTTGTTCTTCTTATTTTTGAGCTTTTTCTTGTTCATGCTGAGATACAGATCTAACTGGGTTAAGAAAGCTCTGAGCCTCGCTCGCTTATTGTTAAATGATTTTAGTGGTTAGACCTTAACAGATTTGACTGCTAAGCAATCTTTGAGTAACTGGTTCTATTGTTCTAAGGCAGTGATACTTTCTTGTAACTAATTAACCATATCTATTAATTCCTTGATTATCAGGCCCTGCTGTGGCGCACGCGATGTGTTCAATGTAGTTAATATAATGACTGATTATCACTGAATAATACTTATACTGACTAGTGCTTAATATATCAAATCCTAGGATTGCTTCTCTCTGTTCTTATTAGCTTAGCTCCCGTTCTGATACGTACCTGTGAACTGAATCAAGGTAATTAGGTTATTGATTATCTAAAGATGACTTGATCTAAATAAGAGAAGAGAAGTAAAGCCAGATAGTGCCGCGCAGCTATCCGTAAGTAAGTATGGACAAGTATTATTACTAAGCTTTATCAAAATATATGATTATTTAAAGATAATTTGATTAAGCATGAAGAACAGAACTAGCTAAGTATATGAAAGAGTGTCCTTATATCCTATCTCTCGTCATGGTATTGCCATGATATGTTATGTTACTGATATGTTATGTTGTAGTGCTGCCATGTTCTGTCATAGCGCTGCCATGTTTTGTTGTAGCGCTGCTATGTTATAGCATGTTGGTGACATGTCTGTTATGGTCACGTGTTGTGTAACCGTCCCGGTTTGTAGGTTACTCAGATTAGGATTCTACTTGATAAGAGTCCTCGCCTTCCGGACGTAGCCTTCTGCCTAACGAGTCCGCCTTACTAGTTCGTTCAGCTAGCAGGGGTCCGTAACATCTAGCTTCCAGAGATCCTTAGTATTTGGAGAATCCTTCTTATCTAACTACTCCAACATATTTAAGTCATGATCTAACATCTGATTACCATGATCTTTTAGAAACTGTTGATACTTTTATAAGTAAATGATCTTTATCATTACTTGATTTATTTTTTCAGAGTACTGTATAAATTGTTGTTAAGCTATTACAAGATCAGCCGCAATCTTCCGCTCATTGTGCTTGAGCTTATCCCACTCTTGATTATTATAGAACTGTTTTTCATACTTATGACTGCACAAGGTACAAGCTGAATATTTCTTGCTTTAAGCAGATAAACTCATAATATAAACCTTGCCTCAAGAAAAATAATAGATACAAGGAGTATTAACAGGGCGACCGGAATTTTTGATTCTATCAGCCAAATACTTATTATCAGCATACTTGTCGCGTTTAAATATAATGACCTATCCTGAGAAAAAAAGAACTAAAGGACCCAGCCAATGCACACACGGGGGATATATATCTTTATATTCTTAGAGATAAGAACCTTAAAGAAAGGAAAGTGGTGTTACGGACCCCTACTAGCTAAAGAGACTAGTAAGGCGGTTATATTAAGCAGAAGGACTACACCCGGAAAGATATAACTCTTATCAGGCAGAACCTGAACTAGGCCGCCACATATCACGCGTCACGTGACTGCGGGTATATGAGAAGGTATATGATCAGGTATATAGTATATACCTGTGGTATATGGAATGGTATACAACATGGTATACAGAGGGCAGGATATATAAGGACACTCTTTCATGTACTTAGCTAGTTCTGTTCTTCATGCTCAATAACACTATCTTTAAGTAACCATATGTTTTGGTAAAGCTTAGTGATAATACTCATCCATACTTACTTACGGATAGCTGCGCGGCACTATCTGGCCTTACTTCTCTTCTCTTGTTCAGATCAAGTCGCCTTTAGATAGTCATCGACCTGACTACCTTGATTCAGTTCACAGGTACGTATTGGAACGGGAGCTAAGCTAACAGGAACAGGGAGAAGCGATCCTAGGGTTTGACAATACCAAGCTTCTTGATCCTGCAAAGCTGCTGACAGTTATAGACTATCTTAATAATTTTATAATAGTTAAGAAGTATATTACCAAAACCTTTATAAAAGAAGCTAGATATAATATAAGTTATATAAATCAGCGTCGGTGCTGCAAGCTTTAAAAAAGATTATTCAAGATATAAAATACTAGTATTAATAAAATATTACTATATTATATCAAGGAATTTAACAGCTTTTGTATTAAATATCTTAACAATACTAAGTCATTCTTAATAAAAAGAGTTCAGTAGTAGAATGTGTTATACAGCCCATATATTAAATAACTTGAAAATTAAGTAATTAAAGAGAATGAAGAAGATTATACAGGAAATTTCTGGCTGAGTCAGCCATATATAACAGCAAGACTTGATATTTATAAAATATCTTAAAATAATAGTAGAAACATGTGGTTTTCTAGTATAGAAAAAATAATCTTTCAATCTTCTGAACTATATAAGGTGTCTTTTAACAAACTTAGGGGCTTTTTTGATATCTAAACAGCAGGAGAAGTAAATAGAAATAAGTCTATTTTTATAATACTTCTGTCTAAAGATAAGAGTCTTCTATTTATTTACTCTATTATTCCAGTGCAAGAAGAAGATATATTAAAAGTCTTTATTAAGATGATTCAGTATTTAGAGAATTTTGATATTATATATAGTATATCTAGTCTAGAGAATAAACTTTGGCTAGATTACTTACAGATTACTAGAATACTAAATCTAATAAGGATAATATTACCTGATAAGGATATTAACGTGTCTCTTTAATAAAAGCTACATAAAGAGGGAGGAAAACAAGAGTTATGAATGATATAGAGGATGTCAATATAGACTATTAAAGTAATTAATATATTTAAAGAACTTATACATGCTGCTTCTCAGAAAAAACAGTGTTTTTTATACCAGTCACTGGCTCACGCATAAAGAGGATTTACTATATAAAGAAAGCTTCAGTTTATTATATTTTCTTATTTTATTCTATATTAAGGCTTAACTAACTAAATAATAAAGCAGAAATTAATTTGATATTTATCCTAAGATACTGAAAATCTGAGTAACTATATAACCTTGTCCTTACAGGCTTGACTCTTTGGTTCTATAACTTAATTATTATAGAGATTCTTCTTACTAATTATTTAATTAATTATATAGATTATAAATTCATTATTTATTAAAGCTTATAAGACTGAGTTATTATCATGATTTTATTTCAGCATGCATGAAGAGTTAGAAGATAGACTAAGTAAAGTATAATAATATAGTAATTATACTAGGATTCAAGCAGTACCTAGTTTATGATTATTAACCAGTATTCTATAGATAATATGAAGACCAGGATAATAAGCTTATTAAATAAGTGATCTAATATAGATCATGATTGAGAGACTAATATCAGAAAAAAATAATAAGCTGACAGTTATAAACTGTATCAGATTATAGAATATTATTATAAAAAAGCCAGTATCTATAAGTAGAAGTATTTAAGCTAAAGCTTCCTATCCAGAAACAGAAAGCTAGTGACTTTGGTCCTAGTTCTTAGAACAGTTGTCCGTAATCCTGGTCAGATCTTGAACTGTGGACTATAAGCTAACTTAGTCTGCAGACAGCTAACTAGTGTCTTAAACAGTTTACTGTCCATGTAGGTTACTGATCTGAAGCTCATGGTCTATTATAGATATAAAATCTATAATAAAGATCTTAATTACTCTAATCCTCTATTTAAAGTCTAATTACTATATTATTTAATTCTCTGTCTAGATTACTATAATCTTTTTAATTTATACTGTTCTCTCAGACTACTGCTACTCACCTAAAGTGATTATTATTATAAAAGTTTAATCAAATGCCAGTACTGATTTTAGCCAGTCTATTAACTCTTATTAACTTTATACCAAGGCTTTGACTTATCTAGCTTATATTATCATCAATACTTTTTCAAGTAGGCTTATAAAGAAACAGGCTGGAGATTAGATAAAAATAAATAAATATTATAAAAAACTTGCTCTAATATAATATAAATTATAGAAATATTTATTAAGAAATATACTAGACAATGTCTTTTATAATCTCTAACCATAATACTTATTTAATTATAAAAATCTTTGCTGAATCATAAGTTAAAGAAGGTTCTTAATACTTTAAACAGACATGCCGGTGCACAGCAGATGCTTAAGTATTTTGATAACTTAGTAACTTGGTGCTAAATATTTTCTAGATCTAGATCTATACTTCTAGATCTAAGATGTCTCCAGAACTATTATCTATAGCTATTATGGCCAGGCTATGCTGTCCGGGCCTAACTACTTGACTTCATAAGTCCCGGTTGTTGTTCTACTGTTCTTTATTCCGGTTGATAAGTAGTCTTTTAAATAACTAAATATAATAAAGTCTTTTTCTAAATCTTTATAATCAGTATAACAGTCATTACTTGTGGCCCTGCTATCCTTGACTAGAAGAAAGTTATTATTATAAAAAAGACTTAATAAGTATGCACCCGTGCTGCATGCTTATTCTTAATAAATAGAATAGATAATCATGAACTAGCACCCCATGTGCTGGTGTTTAAGACTGATATTAATAAGATACTTCATCCCTGACCTCTACTTATTAATACCGTGTTAGCTGAAGCTGAGAGCACCCTTATATCCTATTATTATAAGAGATAGGCTATAATATTTATTTAGATTACTTATTTACTATATTATTTCTTTTTTTATATATAAATTAGATTATTATTATCTAAAGTCATTATTCTAGCTTATCTTAGCTCACCCTTGCTCACCCTCCCCGCGCGACCTCTCAGCCGACCAGTTAGCTATAAGAGAAATAGAAATTATATATATCTATCTCGCATTTTTACAGACTTGGATATTCTATTAACAAGATAAGACTAATATTTATTATAATAATATAACTGTAAAGGATACAGAAATACTTTTTAGATAATCTAAAATCAAAGCACTAACAACAATATTACTAAAAAGATAACTTATTCTTTAAAGTCTTTAAGTACTGTCACGAGTGTGATACAGATATATTTATCATGATTTAAAATAAGTAAACTAGCCAAATCTTATTCTTTAACTCTAATAATAACTGGCCCTTATCACTGAAGAAGCTGGTAGAATATTCTTCTATAATAATATTAAAAGTATTATTCTGATAAGATAATATATAGATTTTATATTATCTAAAACTAAAATAGATTATATAAAAAGAGTTAGTTGCTAAATATATTATTAAAAAGTTATAGAATATTTTAAATAACTAGTCACAAGCCCAGACAACTGAAAAAAATCATAAGTAACAGGATTAAAAAATAAGAATAAGATTATAATATATAAAAATAAAATATAAAGACTCCTGAAGTATAAATGATACTAGATTTTATAATTAAGCTTTAGCTAAAACAGGCAGTATATACTTGTTATATTATATTATCTAGATTTTTAATATAAGGATTAATATTATTTTTTTACTTTTTATTATTTATCTGAATTAAAATAATATAGATTAACTTAAGCTTTGTGTATGCTCCAGTACTTCTACTATATTATTATATTAATTACTATAGACTTTATAGATTAGATATAAGATCTGCTTAATATTTATTATAAGAATATATAAGATAATCTTTTTATCATACTTTAACTTGTCTAAGTCTTCAGGCTACTATATTCTTAGTATATTATTAATAAATTATCTAACCAGATTATTTAGATCTAAATTAATAATATAACTTTTATATGGTATATAATACTCTAATCATTACATTATCAGGTATTATTCTGCTTAATTATTACAAACTATGATCTAGAGTCTGCAGATCCCTAAATCCGAAATTTCCTCTTGTCTTAAATAATTAATAAGCTTAGTATTCTATTTAGTCTAGCTATATTTTCTCTTATATACAGCTCAGAATTTCACTAAAAACAAGCTGGTATATCTTAGCTAGACAGACTAGACTATCTTCTCAAACTAATATAATCTTAGCAGATAAAGAAAGTCTGTTCAAACAACTTAAATCTATCTAGACTATCTTAATCTGATAAAAATTATTTTATCTTTCTAGACTGATAAAGTCTTAATAGACTATTATATTCTCTTCAGAAAATAAGAGTTTTTATAAAATAATGGTTATAAATACAGTATAAATCCTTATTCTCTGTATTCTTAATACTGGAAGTTTAACTATATAACTAATCACTTTTACTAGTAAAAAACATATTATCTGTTATATCTTCTAAATGTCTTATAATATTAACAGATTTTTAAGATTATTTCTAGATAATATGCCAGAAATTAATAATAAAATCCCTATTTTCTATCAGCAGCTTCTGGAACCCGGTACTTTTACTTATTTATCTAAAAATAAATATAATATAGATTATTATTAATATCTTAAGAGCATTATTTAGTATTATATCTTAATAAGAAGCCTGAATTAACTTAGTTATTATATCTATATTATCTTTATATAATATAAAGCATGATAAGATTATTACTAGCTTATCCAGAACCAAATCTGCAAGTAAAATAATATTATATTTATTAATTAAAATATATAGTTTTATATATCTAAAAAAGATAGATATAAAATCATTTTTAAGAGTATAATTGCCTCTTAAAACAAACTTTTCTTTTCTTTTAAATAAGATATTATTATACTAATTTATATATTATATACTGAGATTTTTGAATCTGTCTTACAGATAATGACTCTAGATACTTTTTTCTCTGTAAGATAATACACATCCATTAAAGGGATTATAGGTCTGTGCTACTTCTTCTTCTGGCTCGTCTTATGCGACCGTTAATTCGTCGACATAATCTTCAAGAGACTGAGACTTTTTCTCTGATAACGGTTCAAGGCTCGAGTGGTAGCCTTTCTTTTTCTTTTACTTGTTCTTCTTTCTTACTAATAAGGAGAAGTATCTACTTTAATCACTAGCTTTAGTTTATTTTTTTACCATCCTTAATACTGATACAAGTATCTAATAAGATCTTTCTATATATAATAATAGTATATAATTATATATATAAGCATACTTATATAATTAAATAAATATATTCTTATTAATCATCTCTAACTAGTTAACATGATGAGACTTTGCCTCTAGTATTAGACTATTTAAAAGATAGTATAATATTAATAATAAGTTAGCTAGAGGATTAGAGTATACAGTGATCTTCTTTCTTATAAAATTAATAATAAAAATAATAAGATAAGATAAGATATAATTATTATATTATTAATATAAGGTTTTCCTTTTTTATAGTTTATTTAAAGAACTTTAATTATTTGGATAACTTACAGGGCAAAGTCACTGTCCATTATTGTGGTTATAGCGAGACTGAGTAGTATAGCTTTGGAGATTGTTGGATAAGGGAAGAAAGCAATGGTGGGGCTCTTATTAAGATAGTAACTATATTTTAATATTACTTGTAGAAAGCATGACAAGGCTGACATATTACAGTTGGCAGTGTGGGGTTGTTGAATTACTAAGTGCCAAAAATTTATAACATGATAACTATACAAGGATAACTTATTGTCTATACACAAGCATGGGAGTGGGTATATTAATTCTTCATATATATTGGTTTTATTTCTTGACTGGATTGATTTAATGTGACTATCTAAAATTATAATAAAGATTTGACTGAATAGAATTAAGCCCTCTTGACAGATACCATGATTCAGTAATCACAAGTGAGACCACAGGTAATCAAAGATTATGGGCAAGGGAAGACTGCGGGCAAGAGAGGAC